TCCGCATCCCCACGCCCCCGGCCACTTCACTCACCTGGCCTGGGTCTTCAGCGCCTGCAGCATGTCCTCCAGGGCCCCCACGTACTGCGGGGAAAGTGTCAGCGAGTCCCACCTGCGCCCAATCACCAGGGCAGAACGAGGAGGGGCGGGACCGGCCGGGGGCGGGGCCAACGGTGAAGGGCGGGACGTCACGGTGAGGCAGGGCCAACAGGGCGGGGCAGGAAATGGGGTGGAGTCAAATGTCAGTGGGGCGGGGCCGACGAAGAGCCGGACCGCACAGTCCGCGCCGGAAAGGGGAAGAGCCGAGACGCCAACCAGGCGACCGACAGGAAGGGGCGTGGCAGCAGGGGCGGGGCCATCGAGGACTGGGCCTCAGGGAGGAGCAGAGCAAAGCGGCGGTTCGCGGCCGAGCTGACAGGAGAGGCTTGTCAGCGGAGCTGGCCGGAAGGGGCGAGGCAAGGAGGCCATTACGCGCCGAGTCAGGCTGGTCGGCCGGCTGCCCCAAGAGCCACCCTACAGGGGTTAGGCTTTTCAGGACAGCGTGGACTCCCCTCACCTTCTCCAGCCGCCACTCTTCTGGGTCCCGCTTCTCAGCTGCCATTGCTTCGCAGCGGCACAGCAGTCTCACCAGATTCAGCTCCAGCCTTGAGGCAGCCATGGGCAGCGGCCCGTACCCGGCCCCTTCCGTCGGCGCCATCTGGGAATAGGGCGGAAGTGGCTTCATCTGGACGGATGTGTGCCTTCTCCCCGTTTGTTGGCCCGTCTCTGTGGCGGAAGTAGTATGGTGTTTCAAGGAGAAGCGCCGTTCCAGCCATATTTATTCAGGGCAAAATGGCTTGCTTTTCCCGAGGACAATCTTCTTTCTTGGTACCGGGGATCGAACTCGTGACCTTGAGCTTGTGAGGCAGGCGGCGGGCGGCACCACTGAGCTACATCCCTGGCTCCCTGGGGAGAATCTTAAACCCTCTGGGAAGCTTCTAAGGAACCAGGTCCTTTGATAGGGGCTTGTGCATGTTTCATGGACGGTGTGCATGATGACCCTCCAGGTCCCAGCCCCGTTGTCACCCTCAGCTGTAGCCTTGGGCAAATTTAGCTTCTCTGGGCCCGGTTTTCAGGAAGGGGGTACTGTGACGATTCATGTCTCCAGGGGACACAGCCTCACCTTGGGAGATAGGGCCATGTCACCCCTAAATACCTGGGGCCCCATGGAGAGGAGTCCGTTACAGCCCACCCAGGTCTCCAAGAAGGCAGGGTGCCCTTGTGTCTGCAGACCCTGGCCTGCTGCTGCTGTGTCCTCTTCCCTCAGACCACCTGGGATCTGGGTTGCCTGCCCCTGTCCTGAAAAAACAACAGAGGAGCCTGAACCCAGGGCCCATCAGTAAATGGGCCTTCAGAGCAGACCCTGCCATCTGAGTCCCAGCCTGCCCCTCCCAGCTGTGTAGCTTTACTCTGGATTCTTCAGGCTCCCCAACCCGCCAGCCAGCAAGTTTCCACTCTTAGGGGTGCCACTGGCCACCTGTAGGGTGGCTGTCCCATGTTCTACCAGCATTGTAGATGGGTAAGTTGACTAGATATCTTGTATGCAGTTAGACAGGGCCAATACAGGAGGGGCCAACATGGAGGACAATCAAGACACATTCACTGAAGGCCTGCTCCATAAAAGGAAACTACTATCCCCACCTAGGATAAATAGCAGTGATTGATGTTTTAAATAGGTATCAATCACCTGGGTGGGGGACCAAGATCTTTCAAGCAAGAATCTCTGACCCATCCCTTACTAAAAATCCCTGCTCATTCCTTGTACGCTTGCTACGTGACTTGTTTCCCCATTGGATCCCCATCTAATATTGCCTAAGTGACTGTACTCGTCACAATCTTATTAGTTCATCATAGCTTTGTGCACCTTGTGATTTCCCATTAGGTCAGTATTACCTGAGCAGCTGAACTTGTAATCTTGCTAGTTGATTATAGTTTTTTCCCACCTTGAACCCACCTCAACTCGTGGCTTGGTCCCATAGAACACCTCTGAGAAGCAGGGTCAGGCTGCAGCTCACTTCCCGGTCCCTCTTTTTAGAAGCGGCCCTCCCTCCACAGTGTATTGGGCACTTGTACAACACAGCTTGAGTGTGTTCTCCAAAATGCTTGGTTGCACATGTCAGGCAGGTCAAAACATTGGGGACCAGAGTGGTTTGGGTTTGGAATGAGCTATCTGGGGGGATGGCACCCAAGTCTAAACACAAAATTCATTTATTTGGGGGGCCATTTGGGCTTAAGTCTGGGACACACTGAGTTGTGTTCTCCAAAATGCTTGGTTGCACATGTCAGGCAGGTCAAAACATTGGGGACCAGAGTGGTTTGGGTTTGGAATGAGCTATCTGGGGGGATGGCACCCAAGTCTAAACACAAAATTCATTTGGGGGGCCATTTGGGCTTAAGTCTGGGGCCCAAACTGAGTTGTATCCTCAGCCTTTTCTTCTTCTTTGGTTCCAGGGATTGAACTCAAGGCAGGCACTATGCTGCTGAGTTAAATCCCTGGCCCTCCTCAGCCTTTCTTTTTGAGATGACAGGGTTAGTTGCTGGCCTCAGATTTGAATCCTCCTGGCTCACTCTCCAAGTGCTGGGACGGCAGGTGTGCGCCAGCACGTTACTCACTTGCATGTTTCACACACCTTAGGCACAGCCTAACATTACTCTGCGTGTTGGCACAGGACCCAAGGCTGGGGCTAAGCATGTGCAGTAGCATTGAGCTGTATAACCCTCCCTCCCTGGGGTAATCTGTATCCTTTCCAGTGGTCTGACGTGAACTCGCCTCCTGTGGTGTGGCACTGGTGCTGAAAATGTCGGCCCTGGAGCACTTCTGGTTCTGGGTGAGGGGTGTGTAGCCCATGTTCATACTCTTCGGGGCTCCTTGTCCCCTAGCTTCCTTCATGTGGAAGCCTCTGTCCTGTGTGAAGGGTCCGCATGGCACCCTGACAGCAGTGGCAGCGCCCCGTAACTCACATGTGACGTCATTACAGGCACTTGCTCTTTATTTACCCTGGGGCCCAGGCCTGTGGCCTTGTGTCCGGTGTCTGATGTCTGGATCTGCAGAGCTTCGAGGAGCATGGCCCAGCTGGGGGTGTGCAGGGACGGACAAAGTCTGCTGGGGTGAGGTCCTGAGTCACGAGGCTGCCTCTTCCAGCCCCTGGCACCACAGCGCAGGGGGACAGAGGTGTGACAGCCACATTCTGGTCTCCGTGGGTGTAGACTGGTGCTGCTGCAGCGACGCCACCCCAGCTCATGTCCTGTGACCCCACAGAGGGATCCGACGCGCTCTGGAATGTACCTTAGCCAGGTGGCCGTGGCCACCACAAGCGGGAGTCCCGTGTCGGAGACAGATGGGGGTGGCCAGGTATCCCAAGAGTCCAAAGCGCCAGTGCTGTGCAAGGTCCCTGTGGCCACCCCAGGGGGCCACAGTGTGGCGGTGGCTGGTGCACTCTGCTCTGCCCAGGCCCAGGTGACAGGGATACGCACAGGATGCGGTAATGGGAAAGTCAGACGGGACATATGTACTCGCAGAAAACAGTTTGGTCTCCCATTAAGGCTGTTACAGTTTAAAGTTATGTAAACCATGTACAAAGTTACCGTAAAAACGTACAAAAGGGAGAAAGGAGGTGTGGCCGCTGCTGGGAGGCGGCGGCCCGGATGGCACTCGGTGGCCGGGCCCAGTGGCTCCCCTGCCTGGACTCTGGCCCAGGCAGCACCCTCCGGCCACCCATCACTTCGGAGCTTCCAATCTGGACCCTGCCAGAG